GGTCCCTTCCAACCCAGTACATTCTATGATTATTCTCTCTGTCCTAGATTATTGTGAAATATTTTTAAAATACAGTGACACAGAACACGATGTAGCTGCCATATGTTGATATTATGAACAGGAGGGAGGCACAACTGCTGTATGTATGTTGTAGAACTTGATATAAGTCATTGCTCGTGACTAAATATTTGTTTTTCCTTCTTCCTGTCCTTGCTGTGTATCCCAGGAGAAAACTGCTGTCTGATGCTGCCACAGGGAACAGGAGCAGCATCAACAACGCTGTCCCTAGGAACTGGAAGGCGTCTGTGGAGCGGGCCCCTCTCAAGCATCCTGGCACCGCTTCGTGTTCTGGCCCCAACTGGAGCTTCAGTTCTGACAGAAACTCGCCCAAACCCCCAAACCTCCACTCTCCACCTTCCGGGACTGTTAATTCAAGCGGTTTTTGTAGCAAAAAAAATCAGACGTTTGATAGCTTGGATTCCTCTTGCTCTTCAAAGCGAAGTGTTGAGGAGATCGCCCGCCCCAAAACTGCGGCACTGCCTTCTCCCAGGGTGAACGGCGGAGCGGGAGCTTCCCCGCGGCTCTGTGCTGAGGCGTCCTTCAGCAGCGGCTGGCGTGGAGCAGCAGGGGAGAGGCCTCTCACCAGCACGGCCCTGCGAGGTGGGAGCAGAGCTGCTGCTGACTTCCCTGCAGGACACAGCCTGGGTGTGAACGACACAGACCTGGACCTTGATCATTTTGATCTCGATGATTTCGATGAGGACTGGGACAACCCAGTGGCTGTTTCAGCACCCGAGGCGCCGTCGTATCGCCCCATCAGGGAAGGGCTGCCTGCCTTATCGCTGCTGTCCAAGATCGTGTCCAGAGCCAAAGGATCTGCTGTCGTACCAAATCCTGCTGCTCCGAAATCAGGCTTCCCGATGGCAACAAAGAACCGCTCAGGTAAGCTGTGCTCATCAGGATGACTGTCTTTCCCTTTTAAATTATTGATTCACTTGTTTTTAAAGCTAAGGCCGAGTAGCCTGCTGTAGATGACATCAGTGCCTTGGTTTCTTTCTGCAAAGTCATCTTCTCTTGATTTTCCTCCAAGCGATGCCAAACACCTCAAATGTTTGTTTGCTGTGCGGGTTGCAGACTGCTGGGGAGGGGAAGCTGCTAAAATTGGAAGCTGGAATCTCTGTGTTTTAATCAAATAACGACTCTGCAGTTGTTAGTTCAAAGCTGCACAATGGTTTTCGCTGTTCATGCAAAATGTTCAAAACCAGGCATGTGTTGAAGCAAACCCCATCCCTCTGGGGCACCAGGGAGGGTCGGTGTTTGCAGCTGCTGCAGGAATAGGTTGGTAAAGGGCAGGTGAAAATGTTAACCTGTTTCATCAGCTCTGTCCCCGGTTCAGCTGGGCCCTGGTTCGAGGTACCCGGGAGCGGGGCCTGGTGACAGCTGTGTGTGACAGAGCTGAAGTTGTCAGTGCCAGGCCCATTCCATACAGCTGTGGTCAGGTGCCTGTTTCCAGAGACTGGCATATAAGCAAAATTTGTCCTAAATTCTAGAGGAATGCCATTTTTGAAGTGGTGATTTGAGTTTGAAAGGGTTAAATCAGCGAGGTGGTGGCCAAGCCATCAGTTGTACTGAAGCAGTTTTATGTTGCAATAGGGATAGCACAACTGGACACTGTACCTTACTGTGAGGACGTTTTCTTTGTCTGCCAGAGCCGCCGGTTAACAACCCTGCGCTGGAGCGCTTCAGGGGTATGAAATTCTCCCATTCTGAAGAGATGACGAATGTGTTTCACAAGAAGTTTGGCCTGCACTACTTCCGGACCAACCAGCTGGAGGCCATCAACGCCGCTCTCCTGGGCGAAGACTGCTTCGTCTTGATGCCCACTGGTACGTGGTCGAGAAGCCAGCACCTGCAGCTGCTTTGGGGAGGCCGAGACAAAGTTCCCTCTTTCTCTGTGCCCTTGTGGAGGTGGGGAGAAATCGTGCACTTGAATTCAGCGGCTGTGGGATTTCTGGAGAAATGGCCTCAATGAGGGAATTGAATTTTTGCCTTCTGTAATATTTCGCTGAACTCACCTGCAGGTATCATGTTAGAGGCAGACACTGGCAGTTTATTGTTTCTGTTCTGTCAAATGGGAAGTAAGAAATGGGCCTCTCTTTCCTCAGCACTGTCCCTCTCCTCTCGGTATGTGACATTTGTTGTGTCCTGTTTGACGCTTTCAGGAGGTGGCAAGAGCTTGTGCTACCAGTTACCAGCGTGTGTCTCTGCTGGGGTCACCATCGTCATCTCTCCGCTGAGGTCGCTGATCATCGATCAGGTTCAGAAGCTGAAGACTCTGGATGTAAGTTCAAACTGCTCGTTTTATTGGGCTGAACTGCAGAGGAGTGAGTGGGAAAGCTGAAATTTTACAGCCGATCTTACGTGTCTCAAATATAAACTGCAAAGATTGATTGGATGGAGACTGTGAAAGGCACACAGCGTTGTCTGGGAAGAACTGAATGAGATGAGCTAGAGTGTCAGCAGCCTGACTGCTGTGTGTACTGGTGCTCTGTGTATTTGTTATTGGAGCTTCGTTTTCGAGTGCAGAATCCTGATTCTTGCATTCTGAGACTGGTATTTAGACACCCAAATAGAACAGAATTTCGCTTGCAGCCTTTTGGATTTATCATTAGAAAAATTCTGCGTGGTGGGGGTTCAAATGTTATCTGTCATTATGCAAAGAAGTATCTAAAAAGTTCTATTCACCGATTATAGTAGTGCATTTTTATCTGGTTTGTAACTAGATGTGGGACTATATGTGGGGATGCTTCTGTTTCATGCCTATTAAAGCTTTTTTTTCAAATACAGATTGCTGCAACCTATCTGACTGGTGACAGAACCGATTCTGATGCTTCAAAAATCTACATGCAACTGTCAAAAAAAGATCCCGTCATAAAGCTCCTGTATGTTACCCCCGAGAAGGTTTGTATTCAATTTGAAGTGTAAAATCATGGAGGCAACAGGTGGATTACTATGAAGTATTTAAGGGGAAACATTGAATTTAGAGCAGGTTTCTGGGGGGGAGGGAAAGGTGAAATATTTTTTTTAGATAATTCAGTAAAGCTGCACAGAGGTAACTGATTTCAATCAGTAATTAACCAAGAATGAGGACTGAGTGTGTCTGAACCATTTAAATTCTTAAAGCCCCCATGCCCATCCATTTCAGTATCTCTTACTACAGGTTAGTGGCTAATTGCTGTGGAGTAGCTGTTAAAATCTAGACTAGAGTAGGATGGTACAGGGACAAAATGTCTCTGTCAGGGTAAGAGGTGACTGTCAAAAGTTCACCTAGTACTTGGTTATAAGCTGCCTTTACAAACGCTGTTTTACCACAGGAGCTCCAAGAGGGCACTGTTACTGTGCTGGGTGCACTTCGGTCTTCAGCCTTGTCCTTCCCTGGCTCTGTGATGAAAGTCACTTAAATTTATGCAGATTGCAGCCCCTCTGGACAGGAGATCCCAGAACCCCGCAGCGATCCCACACCAGCGGCATTGGTGCCAGTTAAAATGCAGCTGGTTGCCATCCTCTTTGTGCCTTCAGGCTTTACCTGTGTGCTGCAGATTAACTGTGCTGTACAGAATGGTTGTTCAGTGAAAGGGGTGACGCCTGGCGCTGTTAATTCGCCTTCTCATGCTGTTGGTGATGGGTACCCAGGTCTGTGCAAGCGGCCGACTGGTGTCAGCCCTGGAAAACCTCTACGACAGGAAACTGCTGGCGCGTTTCGTCATTGATGAGGCTCACTGCGTCAGCCAGGTGAGGGCCTGCAGGTGCTTTTCAAAAGGGCTAAAGGCGTAGCTGGAGCATCTCGCTCAGTTACGCTTGGTTTTTGTGTTTAAACTAGTGGGGCCACGACTTCCGCCCAGACTACAAGCGACTGAACATGCTCCGCAAGAAGTTTCACTCGGTTCCCATGATGGCCCTCACTGCCACTGCCACCCCCCGCGTGCAGAAGGACATTCAGAACCAGCTGGAGATGCTGAAGCCGCAGGTGTAAGTTGCTCAGCAGCTTCCTGAAACAGCTTGGTGGTGCCACAGAAATGTTCAGTGGAAGCCTTAGTGAAGTCAGAAAAGCATTGCAGGGCCATCTGAGACACTCAGGTAGTTTTATCTGATTAGATGGGGGTGCGTGCGTGGAATTTAATGTGAGTCAAATGCAAAAAAATTGAAGGCTGAAGCAGAAAATTTGCCAAGCTTCCTTGCATGATTAAGGAAGCTGCTTAATAGAAAATAACATCGTGAAATTTTCTGTGCCCATTTCTCAAGTGTTCTTTTAATTGGCGTTGACAATACTGTAGATAATGAGGCACCATTCGGCCTGGATGACATTGTGGAGATTTCATTATCCATGGTGGAAAAATCATTTAGTTTCCTTGAATTTCTTATTTTAGAAAGGTATTTTAGGGTGCAAGGAGGGAGGTGATGCTACATTTTGCAGAGTGATCAGTCGAATGTGGATGCAGGTTTTCACGTGGCAAGTGAAGGCGAGGCAAATCCCCGTGTGCCTGTCTGGTTCCTGGCATTTCTTCCTCTGCGTAGTGCCCTGTGGCCGCATGAGAAATGCAGGAATTTGAGACCCAGAGCATGGGCGATGTGACTCCCTGTGGGCACAGCGGGACAGTGATTCCTTTGCAGATAAGGCAGAACAAGCAGTAATTAGCTGGGTCTGGGCTGTTCCAGGCTGTACCTCCTTGTTGAAAGGATTACTGACCAGCACCCGTGAACTGTTGTGTTTTAGGTTTACAATGAGCTTCAACAGGCATAACCTGAAATATGATGTGCTGCCCAAGAAGCCAAAGAAGGTGGCCATGGATTGCTTGGAGTGGATTAAAAAATACCATCCCCGTGAGTACTGAGCAGTGCGCCTGCACGCATTCTTGTGCACCACTTCTCGTGGCAGGAAAGCTTTTATAATGCTGTAAAAACCCAAAAGTTGTGCCTTTTTGTAAGCGATTAATGTATTAACAAGAAAAACAAGTCAGAGGCGAAATGATATCGATAATGGGAATCAGATTTCTGGATTTCATCCTAAAGTGAAGAGTTTCAGTTAAGATGGACAAGCAAATTACGGTGATGCTCTTGAGTAACCGTTCTGGAGGCAGCCAGACCTTTTAGCACTGTGTCTTCGGAGTGTAAGGACATCTCGTGTCCACACTGCTAAAGCTGTTTCATGCTGTTGGTCTGCTTGTCTGTGGTTCCCTGTGAAGACCCGGTCAGAGCTTCCTGTCTTCCTAGGCTCTCCTTTGGATAATATTAATAAAATTACTTGCCTTTATTATTAAGCAGTTACTGCACTTACCAGCCTCTCCCTGTTGGAATAAATGTATTCTGGCTGTTAAACACATGAAAAGGAATAAAGCTGTGTTGCAGCTCAGATCTATTTTGATGTATTTGCAGATGACTCTGGGATCATTTATTGCCTTTCACGCCACGAATGTGACACGACAGCAGCTATTCTGCAGAAGGAAGGACTTGCTGCGCTCGCCTATCACGCTGGCCTCACCGACTCCAACAGAGATCTCGTACAAAAGAAGTGGGTTAATCAGGAAGGATGCCAGGTAAAAGAAAAGCAACTGGGGGTAAAAGTGAATAGGATTTGGAGCGCTTTTATCCCTCCTGTCCTAGCAATTGAAAGCAAAATTGTGTGATGTTATTGCCAAATTGGATGCAGGATTAAATAATGGATCAGAATGGATCTGACACAACTTGGTAGCCCTCTTTTTATGGACAATGGTACAAATCAAGACCGCAGCTCTGCGCCAAGGTGCGAGACTCCAGAGGGAAGGAGCCCAGCAGCACTGAGGCTTCTGAAACAGCCCTGAGCTCACTGCTGAGTTACTGGGACTCGAGCTTGGAGCCTTCCCATTGTCTGGAGTAGCTCCTCTGAGAGAGAGGTGGTTTTGCTGCTTTGTGCCCATCTTGTGGTGGTACAGCTGAAATTTTAGGCTCTGCCCGGTTCCACAATCCTGATTACCCGTCCATTTTTGTTGCTGAGCGCTGCACGGATAACTGCCATAACTCTAACAAATTATTATTATTTCCTTCCTAGGTTATATGTGCAACAATTGCCTTTGGCATGGGGATCGATAAACCCGATGTGCGCTACGTTATCCACGCCTCCCTCCCTAAATCAATTGAGGGGTACTACCAGGAATCGGGCAGAGCTGGGCGAGACGGCGAGATGTCTCACTGCCTGCTCTTCTACAGCTACAGCGACGTCACCAGGCTGCGCAGGCTGATACTGAGTGAGTTCTCGTGGCTGTAACTTCGCAGAGACAACGTTACAGGTGTCCCTTGGTCGCTGCTTCGTTCAGGCTGCGTTAGCTTCTCATTTAGAAGCGCCGTTAATTGCAAGGAGAGGAGAACTGCACGTCGTTACCTGAATGGTTTTCTGTAAAGGTTTTTTGTCACTTAATTTTAGTCAAAAACACTTTGCTCCTTACACATCCCTCTCCTGATTCTCATCATTCTAGTCTTTCCCTTCTCTATCCTGTAAAACTTTAACCTAGGGCAGACTTTACCTCTACTTCTGTACTAACATACTCTTTTTCTAAGCAAAAAAGACCTTTGTGTTTTGTCTCTGGTAATCTGTACAAACACAGAGGTGCAGATCTAACAAACGCAACCGAATTGACTGCGTTTCAGTGGAGAAAGATGGCAACAGCCACACAAGGCAGACGCACTTCAACAACCTGTACAGCATGGTTCATTACTGCGAGAACGTCGTCGACTGCCGGAGAATTCAGCTTCTGGCCTACTTCGGGGAGACCAATTTTAATCCCACCTTCTGCAAAGATCACCCAGAAGTCATCTGCGATAACTGCAGTAGAAACAAGGTAAAAAACACAGCTCTTATTTATAGTGGTGTTAAACTGACACTGCATTGAGCTGCAATTACGTGACTTCTGGGAAGGCAAATGGAGAAACCGTGTAAGATTTCTTGTATTTTTGTGATGCTGGATGCTTCAAATTATTTCCAGGGTTTAACCTAGAGTAGAGTTACCCAGACTGGCCGTGGACTTCGGATGCTCCTGTTCCTGTCAGAGGAGGACTAGACATGTGAGGATGCTGCTTTTCTTGCTACAGTGTGTGCAGGAGGCAGAAGCTAATACAGGATCCACCGGGATGGCTCGGGAAATCCCTTCCACTGCCTGTCCTGATGTTTTCAAGGCAGCTTTGTGCTTCCAGAGTAGTGCAAATGCCACCTCTGGAGGAGTGCGATGCCAATAGATTAGGGCTTGTGCATCAAAGACTGAAGGAAACTTGTTGGTGGCAAGAACAGGAGCCCAGGAGAAGCTGTTGGGGCAGGCAGGGAGGGTTACTGGTCTCTAAACCAAATCAGTTTTACCCCTGATGATACTGCTTCTCGGTCCTGTGTTTGTAGCATTACCTTACATCGCTGTGATTCTACAAAAATTGACCAGAATAATGCATGTTCAGTCCAGTTATCCCATTTTAATGGGTATTGGAAGTGTAAGTCCTAGTGCATGGCAGCAGAATAATTACAGGAAAGCTCTGCAAACGATTTACCTTGATTACCAGTGTTCACACAGCAATCTTGCCGCTCGCTCTATAGAATTAACACAACAGAGATTATATACAATCAGTTCATGTGTACTACTGCTTTTTTCAGAGTATTATCAAATCCAGAACTCCTGTGACTAGATGGTATTGCTGTAGGCGTGCTAACTAGAAAATCACTGTTTCTCTGTTTGGAACAAAATGAATTCATGACTGGAAAAAGCTCAGTAATGAAAACCAGGGTTGTCAGTAACAGCTTGAATTAGGACAGAGCCACGTAATGTTTCCTAATCGAGTCTCTTTTAATAGGATTACAAATCAAGAAACGTAACGGATGAAGTGAAGGGCATCGTGAGATTCGTACGAGAGCACTGTGGACAGAGGGGACGAGGGAACGCAAAGACAAATGGGGGTTCTGGGAGGTACACGTTGAACATGATGGTGGACATCTTCCTAGGTAAGTCCTGCTCTTCCACAAACACCACCCGAATAGCCTTGGCACATAAATTCCTGGCCGAGCATCGGGAGGGCTGCACAACACCAGCAGCGGTTTAAAACAAGATGTATTTTGCAAAATTATTCTTCCCGGGAATCTCCTGGTGGTAAACGATCCAAAATAAATGAGGCTAAAGCTTCAATCCGTTTCAGGTTGCTATAGTGATAATATTAGTTTTCTGGTGGTGCTTGCAGTTTCTGGTGCTTTAATGCCTATCTTTTAATGTGCATAGATTACGGAATACCCTTGGGAATCTGTCAATGTGGGGGCTTTCTGATAGGCTCATGCTGTGATTTCTGATGCACAGGTACGAAGAGCGCCAAGATCCAGTCTGGAATCTTTGGGAAGGGAGCTGCCTACTCGAGGCACAACGTGGAAAGGCTGTTCAGAAAGCTGGTGTTGGACAAGATTCTGGATGAAGATCTGTACATCACTGCTAACGACCAAGCAGTGGCATACGTCATCCTGGGAGAGAAAGCTCAGGCTGTGCTCGATGGATCGCTACAGGTGTGTAGTGTTTGTTAATACTTAATTAACCGTTAATTATTTGTTTATCCTCTAATGTATTGCTATCAGGGACACGCAACAGCTTTTATGCAGCGTTTACCCAAGGGTGGTCTCAACATATTTTGCCTGGCAGCTGATGTGCAGGAACTGATCTTCAGCAGACGCAGGGAGCAGAATCCAAGAGCCTGATTTCTCATCTGCTATTTTAATATTCATGTGGTGAGGTGGAAGATGAGTTTGAGAGGGCTGGAGAGGATTAAATCTTCTTCACCCATCCATCGATTCCAGCATGACATGACGGGGAGGTTGTGACCAGCACAGAAAAGTCTCCCTAACAAGAACAGAAGGAGCAGGCTGCCTTCTCCTGCATTTTCTGCTCTATTTTTTGCAGTCATGGGTGAGCTCTGATGGAAAATGCACTTTAAAAAGGTCATGGGCCCAGTCCCAGAACTGCTTGAGGCAATGTCTCCCCTGCATTAGCGCTGTGTTTGAAGAGGAGCAGAGCCCTTGGCGTTAGACCCAGTGACCTCTCTTTAAAGCTGGCTGTAAATTGGTTTCTCGGGGTTTTTTCCATGTTGTGGATACCCTGCTAGTCCTTAGTAGAAGAAACTTGGGGCAGTTGAGTAGCCTGTAAAAAAGATCACTTAAAAGGTGTACACTGGGTAAATAGCTTTTATTGGTCCATCAATGAATACTTTTGGTCTCCTTTGCTGTTCTCCTGTGTTATTGATCTACCTTCTCACGCTGGCTGTGCAGCCGCTCCTGACACTTCTGGTTGGATCTCGTGAGCAGGTGGAGTTCCACGAAACGGAAAGCGCCAGCTCCATCAGAAAGCAAAGGGCTTCCGTGGCAAAGATGTCACAGCGGGAAGAGATGGTGAAGAAGTGCCTGGGGGAGCTTACGGACACGTGCAAAATGCTGGGGAAAGTCTTTGATGTGCATTACTTCAACATTTTCAGTACCTCCACTCTGAAGAAAATAGCAGGTGAGGTCAGATGCTCCTTACTTAGGGCTGTTGGTACAGCTGCGTGTGCAATTGTAGCCTTTTCTGACAGAAAATCTAGTTTCTAATGCTTTGTGACAATGGGTTTAAATATACAGAACAGGATTAAATATCCATAACCAAGTCTGATCGAAGGGACCCAGCGTTGGTCCTTGGAGCTGCAGTTTACACTGGAGCAGTTCTGCAGGATAAGTACAAGGGATCAAAACCAGCTTTTTTCAGCAAACATTTTTACTGGTTTTTGTGCCAGAAGATGCAAGTTTCCAACTAGACACCAATCTGCTAGAGTAAAGAAATCTGCTAGAATAAAGGCTTACTCCCTGAAGGACTTAGTGCATGGGGTGGCACTAAAAGGAGTTAACTTCCTCCAGAATATTCTACCGTGATCTCCCTCAAACAAATTCATTTGACATGTCTAACTGGTACTTCATTGCGTTGCAGAAACCTTGTCGTCTGACGCCGAGGTTTTGCTGCAGATTGATGGTGTCACGGAGGACAAACTGGAAAAATACGGCGCAGAGATCATTAAAGTGATGGATAAGTACTCGGAGTGGACCACACCAGGTTCAGTGTGCTTTGTACCCAAATGTGTGCATTCCTGTTTAACACCCTTCTCTCCTGTCAGACTCTTCACCCAAGAGTTACCCTGTTTTAAGCAGAAATAACTGATTCTGGGGGTTGAATGATTACCAAAAGGGAGCAATTGCACAGTTTACAGCATACACGGGTCTCTGCTATCTTCCCACCAGTGAAATTCAGCGTATGGCTGAAAAAGGAACGTGAGAGCTAAGCAGGCTGCGCTGCTCCTGACCTATTGGTTATGGGGATTTATGTGATGTGCTTCGTTATAATGAGAATTCTGACCTTAAGGTTAAAGGTCTGGCACCTCCTGTGTAGTTTTCCACCCGCATCTTCTATGTTCAGGGCAATGTCGTAGCCTGGCAATCAATAACGACTGCCTCTTATTTTCCATGGTAATTGAGGTCAGCAGGTTCAGGTCTGCACTGAGTAGCCCTTGCTCAGACGTGCAGAGCTGTCAGAACCAGGTACATGAAAGCTTTCAGGTCAGCACGGTGGTGTTTGACAGCGCCTCTGCCCAGCTCTAACCTTGGGAACTGAGCCCTGAGAGCAGGAAATCTGGTACCTGAGCACAGCCTGTGCTGTCACTGGAATACTTCATACAGCTTGGCTGTCGGATTGGGCGATGGAGCCTGCAGTTTTCAAGTGATTCACCCCTACTTCTGAGGAGGTCGTGCTTTCATGCACTGCAATGGGAGTGAATGCATGGCTACGAACCTGATTTTTGAGTATTTTGTTCTACTGCCTGTGCAAAAATCACATCCCTGTTGATGGTGACTGGCTGAGGAGGAGCTCATGGCTCTGAGCCTTTCAGTGTCTCCTGATGCTGTTTTAAAAACAGGTGCCATATTTGACTGTAGTGTTTGTGGTACACTCCATAATTCTTTCCAGCTGACACGAGGGAGAAAATGTAAAGGCAGAAAGCCCAGAGCTGCCAAAATAGTTTAGGCAAGAAGCCAAGCTAGAGAAAACAGGACTGGCTGGTACTCTTCTATTTTATGAGCTCAGACAAGGACAGAAGGCAGTTTTGGTTCACACAACTAAGATGCCTTTAGCTGAGCCTGGAGCATCCCCAGATGAAGGCGGTGGAGGCGGCTCTGAGCAGCAAGGCCAGCGGTTGTGGTGCTCTCGGTGTGTTTGTTCTGGGTTATGGTGCTGGCTGGCCCAGGATATAATCAGCAAATGATATCCTAATTCTGTTTTAACTCTGTCTGTCTGTAGAGGATGCTGCCTGCCAAAGCGCGGACACGGCTGTGGGAAGCAATGGCACACCCGAGAGCGAGGAGGAAGCAGAGGATGCAGTTACGACCTCAAGCTATTTTGGCAATAACCAAAACCAAAGGAGGAAAAGGAAAAGGCCGCCAAACGCCAGAGAAGCCAAGAGGAAAAAGACGAGTTTCGGTGGCAGCCAGCAGTTTCATCCCAAAGGGTACGTTGTGTGTGGTCACTTGTAGCTTTTGCTGTCCAGAACAGCACGATGATGATCCCAGAACTGTGCTGTTACCCTCCTGCCTGTTCTTCAGTAAGTACGGGCTTTAAGAGTGGCATTAAATTATCCAGGTACCTGGCAACAACTGCTCTGCTCTGGTTTTCTAGCATTTAAATGCTCCTGGTGAGGAAGGATATTTAACAATTGCCCTTTATTTCTCACTCTCGACTGCCACAAGCAGTGACACTAAACTCCAGAGCGCTGTCATAACCATTAGCAGGCTGACTGCGTTCTGTGCTTGGAAACAAAAATGGCTTGAAGCTTGGTGGAATATTTGAACTGCAGGTCCTAGTTCTTGTTAATTCAGAACTTTTCCCTCTGAGGGAGGCAGTGCCTGCACCAAGACCCATGTGGATCCAGGAATCTGCTCGGTCTTGAGCTCCTAGGGCAGATCCACCACCAAGATATCTCAGGGTGATGAAGGAGCCGTCCTCTGAGTCGGTGACCTTGGTTTAGCAGCTAATTTAGCTACTGGTCTGGCAATTAGTGCGGTTACTGGTCTGGCAATTAGTGCGGTTACTGGTCTGGCAATTAGTGCGGTTACTGGTCTGGCAGCTCAAGCAGCTGCGGTTTGTTCTGACTGTCCATGCTTCCAAACATGATCAATCCGTGCTGAAAGGGAATGGGTGAAAGAGGAGAAACGGTTGAAGTTCTGCCCTCCCCAAACCCTCTTTAAAAACAGGGGCAATGACGCTGGAAAACGTGAGCCAAGAGCTGGTGTCTGGGGGCTGTAGCGGTGCCTGTTCGGTGTTTGCTGTGCTCACAGCTCGCCTTGCACAAACAGGAGGTAAATCAAAGCCGCCAGTGCTGCGGTACCCTCAGGTTCTTAAACCCTCAGCCCAAAACTGAGAACCAGGAGAGAGAGTCTGAGGCACAGAAGAGCAGCTCTGTGGACAACCCACGTCTTGCATTTCGGCAATAACTCCTGGAATGGGGTTCTGTGCAGTCTATAAATGTCACAGAAACCGCTTTATCTCTCAGCCAGGAGGGGTTCAGGCCACTGGGAAGAGAAACTGAACCATGCTAACGTGCTCTCAAAACGCTGTAAATCCCCACCTGAAGTCACGCCTGAATTTTAGAGACTGTCAGCTTTTATTGGTATAATAACTACTTATACTTTACTGCTTTCATGTGGCCTTCCTCATCAAGGAGAAAATATTGCCTACCTCACGCAAACTCATTGTCTCCTCTTTCTCCTCTACCCTGTTTTTCCTCATTCTGGGTTGTTTTTTGTAGCAAATAGCAGCTCCCAGCTCAGCAGGTTTCACTCCCACCCTTTTCACCTCCCCATCTACTCAAATACCAGTCATTAGATGCTGTTGACCCTGAAGTGTCACTTAATGCGGATACTCTAATCGGATTAATAGGAGTCAGGTTGGTTCAGCATTCCCTGCCCATTTTGGGCTGCTTCCTGCCCTCGGGCAAATGCCAGAGCAACAGCTCCACTTGATTTACATTTCAACAGTGTTTTTGCAGCCATGCCTATTTAAAAAAAAACAACCACCCAACTCATTAAAAATGAAAGCGTAATCTTCTAGAAAATCTAGTGCTGGTGTGCAGGTAAGGTTGTAGGGCAGGGCGCGAGCGGAGCAGATGTTTAACCTGTACTTCTCTCCGAATTTTGCAGCGGTTACAGCAAGTACAGGCGCCCCAGGAGGCCGGGGAGCACCAAGGCTCCATCCTCAGCTGCCTGCAGGTCGGCATCCAGCGGCCTTGGTGCCACCCAAGGGGCTGCTGCGCGCCTGGGGATCATGGCACCGCCCAAACCCAAAAACAGGCACTTCCTTCAGCCGTCCTATTCCGTACTGTAACCAGGGAGTCGGTGTAAATTCTGTACAAAAGCGAGCCCTGCAGATGTAATCATTATTTGTGGAATTTTTGTTTCGTTTGCTAAGCCTTCTGAGACTTGTACATTTGTCAAGTATAAAAACTCTCATTAAATAAATGTTTTTTAAACTCATAAGCTCACTTGGACCTTTCTTTCTGCCATAAACAAACAGAGTTCTGACTAGTTCTAGCAACCCTATTATTTCAGTGAAAATAATCGCTGTGCGCCTGCTTCACAGCCACCTCGGGGATCCACTGGAGACCACACATCAAAAGCAGTTACTGGAGCTGTGCTTCCCCAAACCCTGCCTGACTGCCTCTGTTCTTGTCCCTCGCTGCTTGCAAAACGCTTCAGAGCTGACAGCTCTGCTGAAAATCTAAGTGTTGGATGTTCGAGATAGGAAATATAATCAGTGGGTAGAGGCTCCGCATTTTATTCCCAGATACTGAGGCTGCAGAGCCTCCTGAGCGCCAAGCCCTGCCCCAGGGCTGCTGCTTTAGTGGTTTATTGTTATTTAAACTGTGATTTTCACAGCCACGTTGAAGGGTATTGGAGCTGCCTTCA